TACCTTCATGTGGTGCACCCTGGGCAATGTATACTCATACACCAAAAAAGTCTATTAACCGGCAGTCAAATTCTGACTGCAAACTACCATGACCCCACTGTATGTCATATTCGACCCCTTTCACAGTACTCACCTCACCTTTTCCCCGCCTTTTGTCTGTCTGTCTATTTACATCTGTAAATCTCACTTCTGTCCCCCTCTTGAATTTTTCTCACTTTGAGGCTTCTCCCCTCTGTGAAGTTCGAAGTCAACTAAAGGGCTAATGATAACTATCAAAACGCCGGCGAAGTCAGCTAAAGGGCTAATGATAACTATCAAAACGCCTACCATTTGAAATAAATAAATAAACTTTTAAAACATCATATCATACAAATATGAACTGTCTGCATTAAGTGAAAGACGGAAATAAAACAGTAAACCTCCTACAATGCCATTTTCCCCGTTTTAACCTCAGCTCTTATTGGCCCATACAAAAGTTCGAAAGTTCATTCCTAGCTTACTATGATTGGAGAATTCCAACTCTTTCACTACTACGTCAAGCATAAGGTCTAAAAATATTATAGTTTTATTGACGTATAGCTTGGTCCTTGATTAGTGCGTTAAGATCTCTAATTTGCAATTAAGATTTATAATATATATTAATAAGTAATTAATAGGGAAAACTCACCTTTTTATTAATAGAGTCACAGTAGTCAAAGACATCATCTTCTGATTTAGCGAATGAAGTGCAGCCACCTTTTCGACACAAAACAGCCCCCTTCTCACATTTGCACTCCCGACAGCCATCATTAAAACTATGGTTTGAAATAAAAAGAACAAAATTGATATTACAGTAATTATTTGTTAAGGCAGAAATACGCTAAGATTCATCTTATTTAACCGAGTAATTTTGGTATGAAATGTTGTCGGTGTAACATAGGTCTCGAAATATTGTGTCCGAGGTGCGCGATGGACTTACCACCACGTGGGGCACTCTATGTAACGCATACTCATACGACAAAAAGTCTATTAACCGGAGGTTGACTTCTCACTTCTAACTACCATGACCCCACTGTATGCTATATTCCACCACTTCTACAGTGCTCATCTTACCTTTTCTCTGCCTTTTTGTCTGCCCGTCTCTCTTACGTCTGTGAATCATACTTCTGTTCCCCCCCCCCTCTAGAATTTTTCTCACTATGATGCTCCTCCCCTCTGTAAAGTCTTAAGNCCCCCCCCCCCCCCTCGACATTTTGTGACCCTCTCTGTTCTTCTTCTCTGTAAAGGCTAGGGGAAACCATCATGAAACCTGCAATTTGATATAAATATTATTTACTCTATTTTTTTTCACATGCATATATGTTAGGGTATTTAGGGAATTAAGGCGATTTAGAAGACGGAATTTGTAAGGAACAATGAACTGCAATAAATCGACTTACGTTAGTCCATTCGGTTTTCCTTTGCAGTGTTGACGATAGTCAGAAATGCATTTCACCTCGACTTGCTCACTCGTAGTTGCCGCGGGAACGCAGAGAACGTGAAGAGGCAGAGCTAGAGCAACAAGGAAGGCTAACTTTAGATGACCCATTGTTGAGGTAGGTTGCCCCACCTTTGGAGTTTAAATATTCGCCAGTAAGCAGTAAATCTAAGCACCGCCCAACCCAAGTGTTGAAAGGAGTTTCCGCCTGATTTATTGCAATGTTGACACTCAATAGCCACATTTTTACCTCAAATAAAAAGTGGCAAATATTTTTATTTGGACCGAAATTTAAACTGTTAGCTCACAAAAATCAGTATTTGCTATTGATCGTTTTAATTTTAATAGTGCTTGAAGATGTACGTTTCAAGCTGACGATTGGTTGTTTTGGTTTTCAGAAAAAAATAGCTAACCGTATTGGTCATGGTGCTAATTAACCATTGAATTTGTGATAATTTTTGCCACAAATCTAAAATTTTTAAATATCCATTAAAGTATCATCACCTAAATATTAGAGCCTCACGTCTATTGAATAAAATTTTAAACGTTGGACACTATGGTCCAAGATAAGCAGGATCTCAAAGGGCCCAGTCGTATATAGGCTTTCTTTCAAAGTCCAACTTTGGGATCATTTGGATTGGCAATAGGCGGCCTTTGTAGAAACAACCAAGTACTTTGAACATTCCAATCAGCACCAATAAGCTCTGGGCCTATATCACGATATTAGTCCGGCTGAGGGGGGGGGGAGGGGTGGGGTGGAAACCGTTGATTGTAGTGCCTATACCATCGAATCGGATGACTCCACAGTTAACCCTAGTCTCGAAGGATAAGGCTGATTGGAAAAATTTGCTCCATAAATCTAAGCTGTCGAACAAACTGAGTCTGCTTCATCTTCCATTTTCATCATGTACATTTTAAAAAACACCTAAAATAAAAAATTAATATTATGATTGATTTTTAAGGTAATATTAGCCAAAAATGGTAATTTATGTGTTAACTGAATAGGATTTATAAAATTGTGCTTCTAATTAGATTTTGAGTCCACCCAACTTTACCACCACCCTTCTGAGACTCCATAAATGAGTATTTTGACAATTTATAGCAACCTATATTTAGATTGAAATCAGCTGTCTTCAAAAATTGCCTCCTTTTAAAATGTTTTTCAATGCAAGTGAAACAGTTTAAACAATGAGGATGAGAAATCACTCCCTGTGATAAAATTAATTATATTCATTTTTCTCAATTATCACCTCTTTGTATGTTAAAGGAAATATGAGGAAAACCGCGGTAAAATGTATTTTTTTTATGTAATCCACTCAAGACCCGTTTAACGAATGAATTTACTTAAAAATAATTGATGGACCCTTGAATTGATCTGAAAGCAAACTTCGATAATGACTCATCACTTTCTTCGCCCTTGGAACTTCAAGATTCGCTTCTAACCCGGTGCATTCTTAAATATTACAACTTCGGGAGATATTTCAATTAGTTTGCTTGCGCTAACGTTTTTGATATTGCAAGCCGGCAAAAAAATTTAATATTTCGTTGCTCCCTTTAACGCCCTTAGGATCGTATGGTCCTCTTTCAAGATAACCTCCATTGGTACTAGACACGTAACAGAAGCGGCACTATTACCATTTGAAACACGTTCAATACGTCTATGGTCTTCGCCTGATACACCACCAAAACTCATCGCGTCAACGTCAGTCTGCTGTGAGACACGTGTGGGTGCGCTTGAGTGCATTTTTCAAAAAGAATAATTTGGGTGTTAAAGGATTTAATACCATGTGGTGCACCCTGGGCAACGTATACTCATACGGCAAGCAAGTCTATTAACCGGCAGTTGACTCTTCACTTTGAGTAACCATGACCCCACTGTATGCCATACTCGACTACTTCCATAGCAATCACCTCACCTTTTTTCTACCTTTGTGTCTGTCTCTTTTACACCTTTGAAGCACTCTTCTGTTCC